CGTCCACACTGGATAAAAAATACAGTTGAACCCCGCTATTTCGAAGTCCCAAGGGAAATGGAAAAAAGTTCGAAATAGCGGGGTTTCGAAATAACCGGGGAAGTCGAGGGGAAGCGTAAAATTCGTAACAATGAATCATTTTTTAATAAAATACAGTACAGTATGAAGAAAGACACTGATTAAATAAAAATACAGTAATTCAGAGTTCACACATGAGTATTTCAGCCGGAAGAACAGTTCACTAACGGTGTGTTTTGTTGTAATTGAATAACACAGCTGGAATTTCTTGGCGGGACACTGCACGTGAGTCAAGCATTGTTAAGTCATCAATTACGCAACACGAGCTCAAATAAAATGCAACACGTTTCCAGCTGTGCTCTTATGTACGTACTCTGTTTCTGACAAGTTCGAAATAACGGGGTTGATTTAAGGTGTAGGGAAAGAACGGTGAGTTCGAAATAGCGGGGAATTCGAAATAACCGAGTTCGAAATAGCTGATAGTAAATGACTGAAAACATAAGGGTAAATCCAAGGGAATTCGATCTTCCTTCGAAATAGCAGGGACTTCGAATTAAGCGAGTTCGAAATAGCGGGGTTCGACCGTATCCGGATTTAGCGTCCACGCGATTCCGGATCGTAGCGTATTCAAAACTTTCCACTCTGTGGAGAGCGGATTCAAAAAGTCGTGGATTCGAATGCCGGATCAGTACACCCCACACGTGTGGACGGAAGCCGAATCCGCAGAGAAAAAGTTGAGGATTGAAAAATATCCAGATACGTCCGTACGTGACGTCTGTCCTGAAACGTCGAGTTGGACATCGAGCTTGAGTTACAGTTAGACTTCGTGTGGGACTTGGAGTTGGAATTCTTTTAAGGAACCTCACGCTTTTCACGCTACATCAACGTGAACATACCGCCAATTCAACAACTGATTCAACCGTCAGTAGCCCTTGAACTATTTAGAAGAGGTGAAAGTACAGCATGCAGAGGTGAATTTTACAAAGCCCAATTATAATCTCCCGCCTAATTGAAATGAATTGTTTATAACTGAAATGAATTTTTCTGTTTTAATTGAAATGACCTTTTTTTAAAATCGAAATGGACATGAGCTTATGAAATGAAATGACTTGTAAATAGTGCGTTGACTGAAGATTCTTTTTTCTTCAGCGATATTAATCGTAAATAGGTTTTAATAGTTAGTTTTTTATTACGAATGCTTATCACGTCACTGTAAATGATTTTTTATTCCCATGCAAATAAAACTCGTTTTATTAAAAATAATCTCCCACCTGAAGAACGTGAGGCAATTAAAATTCACCTTCGGAGCGTCAGATTTCACGTTTAGTTTCACGTGACTTTTGATGACCTTTGTTGCAAGCGAACTCCGAAAGTTCGGGCACCTGTTCTCTCCCACACACTGTAATTGTACAAGCTACGAGTCGCTATTAGAATTTCCGTTAACCTAAATATTTTCCTTCCCTTTCGCTCTTTCAAAATCAAATAGTTTAAGGTTCAAAATGTCAAAGAAGAAGATCAGGAGTGACTTTGACCGCCTAAAGTGTCGTGAGACAGAAAAAACGTTCGCCGGAACTTGATTAATTCCGGAACATGGAGTTTCAACAAGAGCGTGGAAATCTCCTCTGCAGTTGAAGAATGGTTTTTCCCGGTGGATCTAAACTTGGAAAAAATGAAAATAATGATGCAGACACACTTATAATTCATGATACTGCATTTGCTCACATTTTCATCTCGACCGCCTTTTATACACTCGGGTTTAATTTAAGCTTATGCTCGTCTTGCCTGAAGCACACTGCCTCCGTTTGTCTCTACACGATTAAATACAAAGTCAGTAAATGTTCACAGAAGCCTGCACGTTTTTGCTACAGATATGTTAGCAGCCTCTTGATTCAACTTCAGTTAGTAAATAATCAACATCAGCGTCATCAGAAGTGTCGAGTCCCTGTTTGCCGTAGTATACAGTTGAAAATATAATGTCGTAAACAGCGGTCTTTATAGCGAAAATGGATTGGACATTAATAGCGTGTGATCAAGAATTTTGAAATTTGAATTATGATGTGTTATGAAATTTGCCTAGATCACTGGTTTTTATCTCTTTCGAAGTTTAGTTCCATTGTTAAATGTTAAAACCATTTCAGCTGGAGGCGGGAATTTCCACTATAAGCACTGAAGTCCTTTTTCCTGCAGTTCTGCCATGCTCTTGGCCTTAAAGGTCGGTACACACTAGGCGACAAGTTGCAGCAACTTGTCGCGGCGACACGTTGCAGCGACAAATCGCTTCGTGTGTACTGGAGAATTTTTGTGAAAATCTTTGTCGCTGCAACAGAATTTGTCGCCGCAACAAGTCGCACCGATTCAGTCTGATTTGATTTTTTGCGACTTGTTGCAGCGACAAAATTATGTTGCGGAGACAAAGATTTTCACAAAAATTCTCCAGTACACACGAAGCGATTTGTCGCTGCGACGTGTCGCCTCACCTTGTTGCTGCAACTAGTCGCCCGACCTGTACACACAGAGTGATCTGTCGCCGCGACGTGTTGCAGCAACTTGTCGCCTAGTGTGTACCGACCTTAAAATCGCTCTTACGGTTGACTCCCGATAACTCCCCCCGCTAACTCGAACCTCGCTCTAACTCGAACCAAAAATCGATTTCCCCTGGATTTCCTTCATACATTTACTGTAATTTTTACCCTCGGTAACTCCAACCCTCGATAACTCGAACCTCCCGCTAACTCGAAGTAGTTTTCGGATCATTTCTATATAATTCTATCCTCGATAACTCGAACCGTGTTTTGAGCCCTTTTTATTTAATTAAAAGTCGGTAAAAAACGGTCTACTGGTGTCCGAAACATTGAATTTTGAATTTCCCATTGACGTGTTGTAAGTATATAGTTCACTATTGGAGGCTGATGTCAGTTGTCACAAATCTAACGTGAAACAGCTTTACTTCTCAAAACAGTAAAACGCATGCTCTATTTTAGCAATGTTTTGTTACGTTATGTTCTGATTTATAATCTAGAAATATCTTTTAATTTTCACTCGACATTTCTACATCTAAATGTGATTAAAATGTTCACTATGCAGTAAAACTGTTTTTTTCCTTACTCCCGTCTATTTTTTTCGAGCTCCCGATAACTCGAACCTTTTTCGATTTCCTTTGAAGGTTCGAGTTATCGGGAGTCGACTGTATTCTTCTGCTTAGACATTTTTGAACCTTAAACTATCCGAGTTTCAAACAGGGAAAGGGAAATAAAATTTATAAATCAACGCGAACTTGAAATGGCGACTCGTAGTTCGTACAAGTACACGGTATGTGACAGAGAACGGATGTCCGAACTTCAGGAGTTTGTTTACAACAAACGTCATCAAAGCTCACTTGAAACTACAAGTGAAGAAGAAGGCGGAAGAAGTCGGATAAAGGTATAACTACTGTGGCAACTCGTTAATGAACTCCACCCAAAAACCACATAGATGACATGACTAGAAAATGGCATTGTGATATACCAAGCCCGCCTCTTAGACGATAAATCATTGTTATTTTTTCTTGTAACTCGAAGTACAACTCGAAGTTCAACTCGAATGCTAACTCGAACATATACGACTCCTAATAGGCAATATTATTTCTACTGTTTTAATAAGGATCCTGAGTTTAACATGTTTCAACCCCACCAACTTCGGTCGCTATTATAGCCCCGGCCTAACCCTATTGAACCCTACGCAGATCCGAAACCTGTCGGTTAATGTCACTTTAAACTCTTAGCTGTGCATCGATCTCGGAATTGTTCCTGTAACCTTTTCAAATCAAGGAAGGTTCTCGCCTTAGCACTTGATGACCACTAACAAAACAATTTTCAAGTAGGCAATCTCGCAGGAGTAATTGAGACTACTAGCTTTGAATGATGACTTAGAAAATTACACGCTTTTACGATTCACGTACACCGATTTTATGATCTGTGTTCAGCCATTTGTTGTACCTGTATGTAGATGACAGATCAAAAGAGTGTTTGATATAATAGACGCGGAAATTTATGTGCGTCCTTTAAGCATTCACTGTAATTATGGACGTGATGCGGAAAAATTGCAGATATTGTTCAAATTGACCCGCTTAGATGACTGAAACGTGCTGCATGTTCCGTTCTTTAACCACGCTTTGCTAACCAGGACTATAAAAAGGCCTCATTATTACACATTTATTTACTAACCAGTGATCTACAGCGACACCACCCGAGAAGCTTGCCGTGTAGCTTCGTGTAGCCCTTTGAGGTAAAGTATTCCAATTCAGTTTTCTCGCTTTAGTTTGACTTTGATATTCAGAAAAAATTATGTTTTATTGAAAACAAAGTAATATCAAAGCGTTATTCATGCAATTTACATTTTTTTAGTCACTACTCAGTCCTTTTCTCCCGCTAGAACAAGTCAGTTAAATTCGACAAAATGATTTTGGAAAGGACAAACAATGAAAACATCCCTGCTCAGTTAAGCCAGTCGTGACGGCTTCTACTTTTTCTCTTTTGTATTTTTTCTTTCTTTTGTTTCATTGTCTTATTTGATCTTAATTGCGTATTTCGATCAAAGTGTACAGTAAAACTCTCCAACTATGAACATGAATTCAAAGCAGGGGCACCCATCGAGAATATACTTCAAAACCACTTAAACATAGCAATGTTGAACGTATTTTAGTATTTAAACGGTAGATAAAGGCATATTTTTATCCCCTAAAAATTTTTCATCTGTTCGGATTTCCTAGCTGAAAGTCTAGTGATCCGAAAATTATGGGGATCAAAACTTACCTTTTCGAAAGTTTCAGCCAGAAAAAAGGTTCCCGAAAATTCTAGGTGACCTTTTTCGTGTAAAAATCCGTTAAAAATTGTCAATTATACCAGTTTTCACATGTTCGAAAATCCTAGGAGAGGCAGGCATTCAAGAAATTTTACAACAAATGTTCCGAAAATTCTAGATCTCAAATCGTCTTCCGAACAGATATTTTCCGAAAATTGACGTTGGGTGCCCCTGTCAAAGGTACAGATTTCTAGGAGAAGCAAGGCTTGGACGGTTAACAGCCAAAATAAAATGCACTTGCACAAGCAAACAAATCTTAGAAACTGAACTCGTCTGCAAAGTGAGACGCACTGACAAATGTTCTTTTATCTCGATTTTCGCTTTTACTTTGAAGCTACTGGTCCAAATTGCGTCACCCGTGTCTGCAGGCCGCTATGATCCACGCGCTCTCCGCGCGCTGCACTTGCGACAAAAATTTTAATATCTTCGCTGAGCCCAGGTATTCAATCGATAAAAATCGGTATCGCTAAAAATCGGTAGCAATCAAGTGATTTTTATCGATTGATAACGGAAATCAGTGAAAATCGATAAACTAAATTGCTGTGTCAAATCGATATTATTGATTTTCAAGATTTTATCGATTTATAACGGAAGTCCGCCATTGTTGTTTTTTGGGATGAGTGACTACAGCTGAGAAAACACATCTACGAATATCAACTGCTCAGCAAACGTGAAAATGAGAAATGTGGAAACTATCACACACAAGTTTCTCTCTAAAACTCGTCGTTTGGTACATAATAACACTGAACGGTTCGGTTTTATAATTAAATTCAGTTCTCGCAGGCAAGTATCACGAGAAATACAACCGTAGTAAACTGATTTTTCTAGCCTGAATTTCAGACATTCCCTCGAGTCGAAGGGATGTCTGAAATTCATTCAAAGATTTCCCTGGATAGATTTTCACCGTTTTCTTTATCAATCGATAAAAATCACTTGATTGCTAGCGATTTTTGTCGATGTCGATTTTTATCTATTGGCTACTTCGGGATTTAACTAAACGTGGAACTACACCGACGTTATTTTGAAAGGGCGGCGGGTCTAAATCGTGAAAAACTGGGCGCCTACAAACCAGAAGCCAATTTTAAACCTGGTTTTGAAGAAAAGATAAGATTTTTCAGATTTTTTTAAAAGAATTTTTTAAAAAGTGATAACTGTTTAATTCCTTCGACGCTCAACTGCAACTCAATTGTCAACAAATTTACTGTTTGCATGAAATCAGTTTTCATTTTTGAATGAACAGATGAACAGATACATCTTCTGATATAAATCGATGAAATCGGCAAAAATCAAGGTAAATCGATAAACGAAACGAGTGGGTCATCGATTTCTACCGATTGATTGATACGATCGATATCAATCAAATTAGATTTACCGATTTTTATCGATTTATTGATTGATAAATCGGTACCTATTTTTATCGATTGACTACTCCGGGCGCTAAGAGAGGAATAAATAAAGTCACATGGTACATAGGCCTCCTCCACACGTATCCGGGTATTGAATCCGCTACTTTTTCTTTGTTTTCTTTGCGGATACGTCTTCCGTCCACACGTAATCTGTGAATCCGGCAGACGAGTCCTGCGTTCTGCATTCGGTGTTTCGCATTCAGATTACGTTGACTAGATTTTTGAATCAGCTGATTGGGTGAGTATTGTACGTCAATTTCTCCCAGATGTTTGTATCACACCTTCTTCAAATACTCTGAGACTGCAATTATTCACAGTTTAACAAATACAAAGGCGAAAAACGAAAACAACTTACCTACTCAAAAAAAAAAGAAAGAGAATCGCACATCTTTTACCAACGCCTTGTACTTATCAATCGTGCCAAATACTGCCTCCTAATTGGCTAAAAACCTTGACGCCATGTTGGCTCTAATCGGTTCACAAGTGATAGTTCCGGCCTTGTGATTGGCCCAAACCAGTCTCAAGGGAGTCTACACCTTACATTACACTTTTACACTTTTGCAGCACGAACGAGAATTTTTCTACCTACAGCAATACCTCGCGCAGTACTATAATGCTGCCACCTCGCACGCCTCGCTTGCTCAACCGTTGGTAATAATGCTGCATCTTTCTTTTCTTTCAGTTTTGTTGAAAACGTCGTCAAAATAGACAGGAAGATGATTCCGTTATTTCTCGTTCTTCTTAATCTTTTGGCTGTTGGCCATGCAACAAGTAAGTTCAACAGACGCAATGTTTAATTGACGAGTTGGAGTGTTTTATGACGCTCAAAGTGCGAGGTGCGGGCGAATATTTTATTAAGCGTGATGAAACACGAACTCCAAGACAAGCTCGTTCCCAGCGTTCTCCCTGAGAACTTTCAGTTTTAATGATTGTGAAACATTTACATAATAATAATAATAATAATAATAATAATAATAATAATAATAATAATAATAATAATAATAATAATAATAATAATGAGGTACTTCAGTTTAATGATGATGATGATACAAAACTCTATTCATAGATTTAAAAAAATAGACTATTTACAGATTCAAGAATATGAAATATTAAAATATATACCCTATGTACATTCTTCTTGTGTACGAAAGAGAATTGTCGTAAAATGACTATCTAAAGACTACTGATAAGAATTATAAAAAGCATCAAACAGTTAATAAAAAAAAAATAAAAAAAATGATGATGATGATATTAATAATAATAATTAAAAATAATAATAATAACCTTTTTATTGACAACAAAGCTAACTATTAAAAACTATTTACAATTAATGTCGCTGAAGAAAATAAGTATTCGGTCAAGTCATTTCATTTCATAGTCTCCTGTTCATTTCGATTAAAAAAAAATTCAATTCAATTTAAAAAATGTAATAATAATAATAATAATAAGGTTGCAGGATGTGTCATGTACCGGGAACAGGGTACCAGTTGAACCAATGAGAATGAGATGTTGTAGTTAATTTTTTATCTTCATTAGGATACACTACCATGCCCAAAAACAAAAATTAAAAAATTAACTACAACATATGATTAAAATAAATTAACTACAACATATACACTATAGTAATGATAAAAATCTATTTTTTACAGAGAACTGTTGGGAACATTTGCCGGAGGGCACATGCCGTTACATAAATGATCCCTGCCCAGCAGGTTCTGAAGATTGCTCTAAGAGTTATGCTTGTCCTGTGTCAACCAACAAATGCTGTTGCCCGTCGTCTGTGACACCAACTGCGACGACGTCTGTGACGACGTCTGTTACGCCGTCCGTGCCGCCGTCTGTGTCGACCGCCCCGCCGACACCTAAACCAAGTTTGTATTATGTTCGCCAATTTCTTTAATATATAGATTTAGCCAGAATTATTGAAGTGCAAAAATTTTGCTTCACAAATAGATTTTTTAGAAAAACTTGCACTCGATAAATGCGTTGCTCAAGTACTCAGCATCATTCACTATCCAAGCTTTTCACGGGATCATTTTTGGCTGAAATTCAGGGGTAGACCCAGAAAATTCAGAAAGGGGTGGCCGGGACACTTGCCCACTTGTCATCTGTAGAGATACTTTTTATTTTTCTGACAATTCTATAACAGTAATACAAAATTTCAAAGAAAAAGGGTGGCCTCGGCCCCTCGGCCCCTCGGCCCACTCCTAAATCCGCCCTTGAAATTGGGGATCATTTGCGGTTTTGTGCCCGGCTTTTTCGCAAGCAAAACGTCACAAGTTACTAACATATAACCACCACGATAAGTGATGATTAGCACTTCTGTCGTGCCAGTGAGAAAGCCATCTAAAGGGCTTTTCTGGCCCTGCGTGGCGGGCGCAAAATAGGGGAGGGGAGGGAGGGGAAAGAGTGAGAGAGCAAACAGGTTTCTTCTCCCACCTCACCCTCATACTTAGCGTCTTCGTTCCACTTGACCAGCGGTCGGCCAGCATGCGCAGTAAGGGACGAAGACTCGAGGTACGAGATTGCTCCCACCTTTTTTCGAGGCCTGCCACGCATGCTCAGACTAGGGATCTTAATCTTCAAAATAGCTTATCGTCAGTGAGAATAAAAAATTTACGAATGGTATCCATCGACACAATCCCCCGTTTTCCCTTCCTCTTCTACCTCGCAAGCAGAGGCTTAAATTCTTCTTCTTGATGGAGGGTTCTATCTCAATCGCGTCAAGCCTTTGAAGTCGCTGCAGTAGCTTGAACTTCTAGACTAGTCAATCTTGTCTTCTCTGGATAAAACGCTTGCAGCGTACGGCTTTTAGGCCTAATTTCAAAACTGCATCTTAACAACGTGTAGCGGATGTATGCTTAAAGAAGATCTCAACCGATTCATGCAGAGTCTTTCTCGAGGTACGCGTGTGTTTTTCGTTCGTGGTTCGTAGTTAAAGGAAGAGGTCGAACACTGCAGGAGGGGCACTTTGAATTTCAAGTGACGGGAATGATCGAAGGATCTTTTTGGGGGTAGAAAAATTTGGCGAGTATATTTTTGGGCGGCTTTATTCAAGTACATGTTTTTTTTGGAGGGGGTGCGGGAGGGTATTCAAAACAATATGAAGATTCGTGTTAGTGCCCGTGTATCGCGGCCGCGTAGTTCTGCCCAAAAAAGTACATCCAAACTTGTCAAGGCTCGGAAATTCGATATCGGATTTTTTGGGGGCTAATTTTTGAACTGTTTGGTCCATTCGATCATCCCCGGCCCTTAAAACCCGGAGTACCTTCCCTAGGGCCATAGAAAGAAGCCAGGGAAAAAACTCGCTTCTTTTTTCCGTCTCGCCCCGCTCCCCTTCCCACCGTTTTCTCATTAGTCCTCTGTTTATCTTTCGCACGGCTTTGGCTCTTACTTTTCGAACCACAAATAAAAAAACAGACCAAAAATCGCCTGATACGCAGGTTAGCGAAAGAAACTCCGCTCTGCTAGTGGGACATTTCACTTTCTACGCCAGGAGGATAATGATGATAATACTAATAATAATTATTATTTTAAATTTTTTAATAATAATAATAATAATTTTGTTGATAACAATGCTAACTATTCTATTGACAACAATTTCGCTTAAAAATACTATTCCGTCAAAACACTATTTACAATTCCTTTCGATTAAAAAGCACTTAGTTTTGATAAGAAAAAAAAAACTTAAACATATCAAATTATTAATTATTCATTTCATAATAATAATAATAATAATAATAATAATTTATTCTTCACAGGGTACTGTTGGGAACATTCGTTGGAGTCCAACTGCGAATTCAAATATGATCCATGCCCACGGAATCTTACAGATTGCTCTCAAGACTTCGTTTGTCCTTTGTCAACCAACAAATGCTGCTGCCCATAGAGACAAGTGTGTAACACCCCTTGTTATATATTCCACCACGCGGTAGATTGTTTGCCATAAGCAAATGAAACCTGGTGTTGGACTCGCATGTAGAATTGTATGAATGCCGAGTCAGCTGAACAACAGAAAATAAAAGGTGTAAATAAAAGAAATTCTGTTGTTTTTTATTTTGACTCGAACAATATCTTGATCTGCGTATTGAGGGTTAGGGTTAGGGTTAGGATTAGGGTTAGGGTTATGGCTTTAGTACAGGTGTTTGAGGCTATTTGAAAAACAAGGCTTTTGACCAGAGTTCGCGGTTGGTTTGAGATAACAGCAGTCTCTCCACGCCACTTGCCGAAAGGAACGTTTCGCCAGGAAGGACATCTGAGCGTCAGCGACAGAAATTTCATTCTGATGACGAAAAGAATAAATAATCGGTAGTCATGGCGTCCCAAATGTAAATTTGTTCGATTTTTTGATTGGAGAGACGGCGTGCTGTATTAGCGGTCTAAGAAAAGTCTTTCTAACTTGAATGCCGAGACTAAAGGCCTGACTTACTGATCATGGTCAGTCTTGTGACGAATTGTACGCAATGGGACCGTATGCTCTTTTTTTGGGAGGGGGGGCATTTTTTCACTCCTGTGCAGCCTCCCAAAACCTGCCTCGTACGCGTATCCAGACGTCTCTCTCGATGTAAAATTTGCGCGCCACGCACGGCGAGAAGGTGAGGACATCTCTCTTCTTTCTCCTTCAAACCAAACATTTCCTCTCGAGTTAATGCGCGAAAGCTGGAAGTAGAGCAAAAAAAGAGTTTTTCCCCCTCTCTCTGCAAGTTTTCGCACAATAACTCGAGCGGAAATGCTTGGTACGCAGTCTATCGCATGGTCCCTTTCGCTTCGTCACCAGTTAGTCACGTTTTGCGCTCGCCTCTGTGTAGCCTGTGCCAGGCTCTCAGATAGTATAGTGGGGACGTATTAAAACGAGCAAAGCGACGAGCGCCACTTGGGAAAGGGGGCCGTGTCTCTCCCCAGCCCCAGCGCGTTTTTCGCATTTTTTTTTACTGAACGACTTTTCACCACCATCTCGTAGCCTGGAACAGGCTAGCCTCTGTGCGAAAAACGAAGCGGCGCCCGGGGAGTGAGGCAGCCCCAAAACAGTCCATAACCACAACGTCCACCCTGGGCCGTGCACAAACTCAAAATGTTCTCTATATCAATACGATTTTTTTACCTGTTTTGTTTCCTTACTTCTAGCAGAGACAGAGATAAAGTATACATGCATGGCAGTGGTTTGGTAAAAGCCTCTAGAACAACGTGTTACTAGACTACATGGAGTCTCTAATCGGGACTTTCGCAAATTTTCAAGTTACTGATGTGAAACAATTGCGCTGCTTTTTTTAAAGCCTCTCCCTTTCGCACTGTCCGCGCACTTCCAGTCGCGCGAGACTGGGCATTTTTTTTTTGTATCTCACGCGTTTTAGTTGACGGACTAAGAAAAAAGAGGGTAATTGAGGGACTGCTTTGAGCGTTTCTTGTTTAGTTAGCTGGGGAAACTCGAAATCTCGTCTTCATATCGCTCCGTTAGGAGGCGGGGAAGCCAGGCGGTTAGAGGCCCTGCGTTGAATCCCCGCCCTAACCACCGGTAGCCCCGATTTCAAATCCTCGGTCATACTTGCTTGGGATTCTTAGCCTTGTTGACTACATTTCAGTTATTTGTTCCTATCTTTATTTGTGCGCCACAATGAAAACTACTGCTTTATCCTTTGGACTCTAATTTATATTTTTGCGTTTTTTGTGTATTCAATTGGTGTTTTCCGAAAAAGGTAGGGAAATCTGTCATTTTGTTTCTGAGTACCCACCGCGCCCTATCCCCCTTTCGCCACCAACTCGGGACCTGGGGCTAAGAATAAGAGGCCGTTGATTGGGAGTAGCGTGACTGTCTACAAACGGTCCAAGCCAAACTCAAGTTACGAGGAAAGGGTGTAAAGCAATCACGCGTCACTTATGGTATGTAAATTACTTGTGGACTGACGAAGCTATTTGGGCAATACAACATGATCGCCAATATTATACAGGATATTTTTAAGTCGATATTGGAGCACATTTAATAGGGTTTTATTTAATAAAGACCAATAAAAGGTAACGCTTGCACATTTGAAGAAAAAAGGTCATGTTGCAAGAAAGAAGAAACACTTTTAAAGAGTAGGGACCATGAGTTTTCGTCTCAGTGTTACGCTGAAATACAAACTAAAAATACACAGGCCGAGTCCGATACAATAAGGAGCTCTCGGAAGCCATACTCATAATGATAGATTTGTATCTTTTTGCCATCTTGAGGCCGGAATTGTTATCTCTTACAAGTGCACTTTCAATGGAAGTATTTAATTGGCAATACTATTTCCACTGTTTTAAGGAGTCTGAATTCAACACGTTTCCACCTCCCCAACTTTGGTCGCTATTAGCCCCGGCCTAATCCTGACCCTACACAGATCCGAAACCTGTCGGTTAATGTCACTTTAAACTCTTAGCTGTGCATCGATTTCGGAATTGTTGCTGTAACCTTTTAAAATCAAGATGGTTCTCCCTTCAGCACTTGATGACCGCTTACAAAAAAAATTAATCAAGCAGGCAATCTCTCAGGAATAATTGAGACTACTAGCTTTGAATGATAACTTGAAAAACTAGACGCTTCTACGACTTAGGTACACCGATTTTATGTCGTGTGTTCAGCCATTTGTTGTACCTGTATGTAGACGACAGATCAAAAGAGTGTTTGATATAATAGCTGCGAAAATTTATGTGCGTCCTTTAAGCGTTTTCAGAACTATAATAATGGACGTGATCCGGAAATATTGCAGATATTGTTCAAATTGACCCGCTTGGATAACTGAAACGTGCTGTACGTTCCTTTCTTTAACCACGCCTTGCTAACCAGGATAAACATTACTAATCAGTGATCTACAACGACACCACCCGGGTAGGTTGCCGTGTAGCTTCGTGTAGCCCTTTGAGGTAAAGTATTCCAATTCAGTTTTCTCGCTTTTGACTTTGATATTCAGGACAAATTCTGTTTTATTGAAAAGAACTGAAGTAATATCAAAGCGTTATTCATACAATTTACATTTTTTTAGTCACTACTCAGTCCTTTTCCCAATGATTTTGGAAAGGACAAACAATGAAAACATCCCTGCTCAGTTAAGCCAGTTGTGAGGTAGCCTGAATTTCATCCGGCCGATTTCTTCGAGTCGTTTTCTCCTCTCAGCAACGACGTTACTGAGGGAGTAATAACGACTCGAAGTAATCGGATGAAATTCAGGCTATAAATCCCCGTGACTAAGAACCTGGTTTAATGCAAGGTAAAATTGTTATTGATACAATTACAAATGAAATGCAGTTCTTCTTTTTATGTTCATCTTTACATAGCTTCTAATTTGGTGTGCAGATTTTATACGCGGATTGACAAGCTGAACCTCTAACTACTCTTAGCTGTATTGTTCTTTTTCCTTCAGAAAATAGGAACCTATTTAAGAAAGTAAATAGCCTCAACTTGTACTAACTACCATTTATATAGGAACCTGTCTAGGTTAACTTGGAAAAATCCAGGTTCTTAGTCGCGGGGTTTTACTGTAATTTGCATTTTTACGGTCGCCGAATGGAAACAAAACAAAACAAAACAAAAAGGCAACTTCGCATGCAAATTCTACATTGGGATTCAATGGCCGATCGATGCGCGGATTTGATCCATCGGCGGGGAAAGAACCAATCAATTATGGATTTGCCTCGGTTTCGTTTGAACTCAAAAAAATCTCTGACTAATTTTACTGACACTAAGGTGATTAGCATGCGCATACAAAATAGGAACATGAGCAGCAACATCATGTATAAAGTGTTTGTTGAAAATGTTAGCTATTTCCATGTTGTCAGTAATCAACCATCCTTCCTCCAAACGTTGTATATGTTGTTGTTGAGTACCTTTGGAAGGTAATAAAGGCTTGAATTTTTTTCCAGAATTCACCGGGGTGGGCACATTCAGCAGAAGCCTGAATGAAATAGGATTAGACCTTTTAGCGGGGCAACAAGGTTTCTCTGCTTCTTAAATTGTTCCCAATTATCATCAGATTTATTTCCCTCAAATTTCCTGAAAAAAATGTTACCCCTTGAAATTGCAAAGTAGATCTCAAGAGTAATCCAGGGCAGCTGATCGTCTCCGATGTACTTCTTTTTAAATGGGAAGCGCTGATCAACAACTTTAATAAATATATGATGTCAGTGGTCATGAATATCATCAGTGTCATCACAGATGTAGGCTGAGTCCCAGGGGATGTTACTAAGATCGGCTAGATAGCAATCTTTTTCGAATCCCTTCATACTTGGATATTCAAAGAGCGTTGCTGGAGGTAGAGCAATTGCAATTTTCTGCCGAGCAATTTTCTACATATTTATAAAGCTGTCTTGAATAGACTTAATTCAGATAAATTTGACACTTTCTCCAGTAATTTTTATCAGCATCATAACTTATATAATATTCTCCTCGCCTGGCAAAATACCTACAAGCTTAAACTCGATAGATGGTCCAGCGTGCGTTGTTGAACAGCAAGTGGTAACGTCGCGAGTATGCGCGAGCCGCTGGACGGAAGTTTGTGGTGGTATTGGATCGCAGCGAACGCAGCAAAGAAAAATGGCGCCTCTTTTAAAAATTACCATCGTCTTAGTCATCTGTTCCATTTTTGTGGAGTGCAGATAAGACAAAGTCTTCTGTGTAATATGCGAGATTGGTCTCAAGGCTAATAAGTCGCAGATCATTCACAATTTTACGCTTTGATGGGGTTCTGTATAACAGCTACAAAACTCCTCTATTAAAGGACTGGGTAACTTGGAAAAAATCTCCTCATATAAGTTGTGACCGAGTACAAAACGTCCGACGCTTAAGATTTGAATAAAACGCTGTGAAAAAAATTCTAAATGCTATGCGACAATCTCCTTGCAATAATACGACTCCACGTCAGTTATGGTTCAGGAACGCCCTGTTGTTTAGAGATGTGCAACCTTAGTGCAGTGATTTTGCCAGTGATTAATTTTCAGAGACACCCTATCCTAACCACCAGTGTCCAGACGAGGTGCAGTGCCCTGATTCTGTGACTGATAAAATTTCAAAGATATCCCACCCAGGGCTATGAAATTGTATCTTTCCATTTTTGACTAGATGATACAAAACTAAAGACCCAAACTCTAGAAATGACATCTATTAAATGTATGTGATGCCTTAACTTATTCAGGGGTGTAGGCAGAATTTTGTAATATGGAAGCTCTTGAATCCAAGATGCCCCTTATACCTCTAAAATAAAGAATTAGATGAGCCAAGAGAGGAGAGTGGTACAAGATGTGTCATATTACAGATGTGTTTTATTGAGGTAACCCTAACAATGAAAAAAAATCCTTCCCTTTACTCCCCACACTTCTACATACTAGAAAACTGCAAATATGCATGCACACAACAGTGAAAATACTTAAAATAGCAAAGATCAAAGTCATATTTAAAAATGCATTTTCTCCCTGAGATATTGAAGTGAATTTTCTGCTTCTGGTACTTCCATGCTTGCACTCATTTTTGCTTTTCAGAAATTTTGTTGTTGGTATTTTTTACTGCACATGTGTTAATTATTTAATATATAACTAATAAGGCTTAGCTCCCTTGACTAACCCATATCTATTTGGGGCCAAGTTCTTATGATTTGAAGATTAAGAAATTGAAAATGAGAGAAAATTAGCTCTAACTTGTCCTTTTCATTCAATTTCAACATGTGGAGAACTTAAGGATCTTAAAGCCTGATAGCTTCAAGAGAACCAATGTATGACTCAATAAAATTAAAGCTTGTCTGTGTGTCTTCTGGGGCACCAAGGCTATTTGATGCAGTTCAGGATGGAGTGACAGACCCTTCACATTCTGTAGACAGCATAGGGTTAAATAAAAACAGATAGTCGCCATTTTGTACCAGCTCTGCTATGGCTTGAGTGAAAAGTGCAACTGGTTTGAATGTGACGATGCAGTCATCCTCAATGACTATCACTTGAATCAACAAGGTTTTGTGCTGAGCATCTCATAGGGAGCTCCTGCAACAGGCAAAAGGCAAATGAAATTTTCCATAACTTGTCATCTTGCAACACCAGGAGCATCAATTGCAACTTGTGCAGTCTATGATAGATGACTATATACACTACTACTGTGTATACACAGCCAAACTGACATTGACAAGCCATAAGTGCTCCTAAATTCATGTGCACAAACACTGAATATATGAGATCCAGAGTATCAAAAGAATTATTTCTAGCGGAGAGTGGAAAGTTACTCCTATGGCATTTTGTTGTTGCACACAACTAGTGATACCCTTTTAGATATTCAGAATTTCCAAAGTGTAATGGATACGAATTTATATTCAAGAAGGAAAGAAATCTTTTGGATAGAAAAGGAATGATAACATTATATTTTATGATTCTTGTTAGCATACAAATACATTGTATCTGATGGAGCTAATTCTTATCTGGATGCCAATGCAAGGAATCAAATTCACAGATTTCATGTCCAGTGTAGTCTGTGCTTCAAACAGGAATGGCAGTCCAGCAAGTGCAAAGCTGAACAAGGCAAAGAATTGTTTTGCGCTTGAACTTGTGCTAGTGTCAAAGTGGGAGTAATATCATGATGGTCACATGAAAATGCATTAAATCACACTTATCATATTTTATAGTAGGGCAGGGAAAAGAATGCACATATGTGTATTTTCATATTTTATATTGATTTCAGTTATGTTTCAAGACATTATGTAAACATTTTAAGCATAACATTAAAATTCTTTTAGGCGCCAATTTTATTTGTATAAACAAAATCATCATAGAATAATCATCTTCCAAAATGGTGAGGGTTCTTGTCAATGAATCTTAGAGCTTACAGTGCATGATTAGTAAAACGCAAATTCATCAGTGTTCCCCCTCTTGGATGCAAAATCAAACATTCAAGAATGAAAGAGTGTTCCGAAACAATGCTTTTACAAATAAGTTTTGTTGGGATATACTTTTACATGTTCACGAAAAATCTGAAAACAAGGTTGAAAAGGACAAGAAAAATTTGTCTATCTTAAACGAAGTTTTAGCAAATAATATTTCACGATCCACTGCCTCGATCTCTTAATCTCCGAGAATAAGTAATCGCCATAGAGCACCCATGTAAACCAGAAAAGCAAATTTTCGAAAATGGAAGGAAACATCCGACGACGGCCTTACTTGTAAGAGTAGGAAATTTGCTTGTTGATTTCTTGCCGCTAAATAGTATCAAAATACTCGAACTTCCCCCCTTTGAATTAAGCATTAAAAGTGAAAATACGGAGTGACCGAAAGAGACGTTTAACCTGTTTAGTCGTTTGTGTGGGATATACAACTGGATCTCGCTGTACGGTCAGGCTCAAATGCCACAAAAATACGGGGGTCACATAAATTGCGTTGAATTCAGGCTGCTATAATTTTAACACATAACATTCGATGATGCTGCTCCACATTTCACAAAGTAAATGAAGGGGTATATCTTACCTAAATGCTAAGCAGCTCTGCCGATCATGGACGATAACCGATAAATCCGTGACCGCTTGAATGTCAACAAATCATCATATCACAACAAACGACCTCGTGAACGCTTTATCTGCTTCATCAGAGGAGCCAAATGGATGAAAATTAACCAGCTAAATGGTCCTTCTCCCATAAATGACACTTCAACATGGCTTAGCCAAAGTATCCAATCTATAACACATGTCTGCTATTGACTGGGTATGCAAAAAAATCTCCCTTGAAAGTGCTTCTGGACAGCTTTCGGCCATTACGATTTCCGGTCAACAAGTGCGTCCCAGCAAGACTGACGCATGCGCAAACGTTACCACTTGCTGTTGCGTTGTTGTCGGTTAAGAATTCACACGGTCGCTTTGCAATTTCAATGACAAAGGACAAAGACGATATGCCAGAAAAACAAAGAGGCATCATATTATTTTTTCAATTATTGAATTATTCCCCTGCTGATTCGCTTCTCGCCTCTGAAATATTTTACTTTGTGAAAAATACAGTGCAATTATCCGCTGAACACCACGCAATGTGACCGCTTTGCAAGTTGTGAGAACATCGTTTCTCGGTCTCAGACCTCTCTCTTTCCCCGCTGGTTCCGGCCTTGCGATCGGCCCAAACCAAAGTCTCCAGGGAATATACACCTTACATTTACACTTTTACAGCTCGATCGCTTTCGATCGAGAATTTTTCTGACTCCAGCAATACTTCGCGCGGCACTATGATGCTGCCGCTTCGCAAGCGGAGCGACCTCGCTCCGCTTGCTCGTTGACAATTTAATAATGTTGCATACTTCGTTTTCTTTCAGTTTTGTTGAAAATCATTTTGTCGTCAAAATAGACTAGATGATGGTTCCGTTATTTCTCGGGCTTCTTAATCTTTTGGCTATTGGCCATGCAACAAGTAAGTTCAATAGATATAATGAGGTTGGAGTGTCTTATGACGTATGATAAAACACGAACTAGAAGACATCCTCGTTCCCAGCGTTCAGTCTGACAACTTCCAGTTTTAATGACTGTGATACATTTACATATGCATAACAACAACAACAAAAATAATAATAATAATAATAATAATAATAATAATCTATTTTTTACAGAGTACTGTTGGGAAAATTCGCCGGAGGCCGCCTGCTATTACATACAAGATCCCTGCCCAAAAGGTCTTAAAGATTGCTCTAGAAACTTCGTTTGTCAGGTGTCAACCAACAAATGCTGTTGCCCAAAGTCTGGCCCGTCGTCTGTGCCGCCTTCTGTGTCGACTGCCCCGCCGACAACTAAGCCAAGTTTGTATTATGTTAGCCAATTCCTTTAATACCTTACTTGTATTAAAATTCGCGTCGTACCCATTTTCGCTCAGCTTTAAATTCGTGCGATTTAATTTCGAGCACCTTGTTAAGACTTATTCGCGCAGTTTTAAATTGGCGCAAGTAATTTTCCGTGTTCGTTCTTTTTGGTTTGTTTAATAGAGCTATCAACAATTAACGCATTTATAATGAGTGTTTTTTTATCAACAAATACTACAATATTTATCAAAACTTAATCAAAAAGCGATTAGGTGGCCCTAAGAAAATGCCTTCAAAATTATGTAAATTATGTAATGTAAGCAAAATTCAACTTAAAACATGTGTCGAATGTGTCTATGGGTTAATAAATCAACTGATTTGCATTACTAACAATGAGTGTCTCATATTACACGACAAAGCTTTTCGCGCCGATAATAATTCGCGCAGTACTAAAATTGACGCACCCAGCGCTGCCCGAATTCTAGTACTGCCCGAATTTTAATACAAGTAAGGTATATAGATTTAGCCAGGGCTAAAAGCGAGGTACTCGTCAATATACTTATAGTTTACTCAAACAAAAAATAAAATAGTGTAATACTAAACGGCGACAATGAGAACGGCAAAAAAAATCAAAGGTTTAATTAGCAAAAAACAACTTTGCACTTGCAGCACACTTTTTTGGGACATTTCTTTACCACTGTTTTGCACGATTACAACGTGAAACTTTCTAGTTTTTACACGTTTTGTTGAGGAAATGTCACATGTATTCCTGTTCGTTTTTTTTTATACTGGCACTCATTTTCACCTTGGAGGCGGCTAGCATTTGTCTTTTTTGACCGACGCTATAAAATTTTCCTGTTTTCCCTTCAACGAAATTCGTTACCTTTGTATTTTATCTTTTGCTTTAGCTATTTCCTCTGTTACCCATCTCAGTGTAGACAATAAGATTTAGTCAAAAAAACAAAAAGAAGAAGGCAGACTTGGCTTTGCTGTTGTGTTTTTTCTCGAAAAGTCTGGGTGGCCATGCGATTTACCCTCAAAAACGCGCGGGCGCTAGAAATGCAAATTTCTTGCCGGCTTTCATGAAAGGGTGGACGTACGTACCTTAACGTGATTTCGTACTTTTGAGTTAAATACACTATACCGAGCCGAAATAAGTTTCACTCGATAAATGCGTTGCTCAAGTACTCAGCATCATCCACTATCCAAACTTTTTACGGGATCATTTTTGGTTGAAATTCATAGGCGGATCTAGAAAATTCAGAAACTGGGGTGGTAGGGACATTTGCCCACTTGCCAGCTATAGCCTCGTCCCCCTCGGCCCACCCCTGAAAACCCCCCTTAAAATTAGGAATCATTTGCGATCCATTTTGGGAATAATTTGCAGTACTGTGCCCGACTTTTTTCGCAAGCAAACAAACATAATATACCAAGAGGCTATAAAGGGGACATAGAGGGCATCCCCCATATACACCCTATTCCATGGGTAATTCGTCTCGAGTTATTTTTAGAATCGGGATAAAGTTACTTCGCTCGAGGCGTGGATGTTTCGTGGAGGTTTCGCATGACCAAACGCTGTGCAAAACATGTCGGGCGAGAGGCAATGAAAGCATAAAAAGATCGAGAGCATTCCTGAATATTGAAGCGAAATGAGTCGGCGCTCACCTGGGAAAAAGGAATTGCTGGACTCTTTGACAACCCGTGAAATCAGTTTAACTCGAAGTTGTCGTAACCTCAGTGCTTTAATAAAATGAGAAATTTCGCCGGTCTATTGAAAACGGTCTTTTGTACAATTTAGGGAGTTTAAGATCCACCGACGCGGACAACAACTAGAACGTCAAAAAACAATAGGTTTAATTAGCAAAACAACAACTTCGCACGTGCAACACACTTTTTTGTTCATTTCTTTCCCGTTTTTGCACGACTACGACGTGAAAATGCCTAACTTCTCGTTTTATGGAGGACGTAAATAAGCAACGACGAAATTTTATTTCTCTTTCTGAGCTTGAATATGGTCCCTTAAAATTCAGCTTTAGGAGGGTTCGCCTACAATTGACAAAGTAAGTGGGTAGGAATAATCGCCATAAAGACTGAAAAAAATAAACATCAAACAAGAAATTGCTCTCTTCAAACTGTAAATTATAAATGATCCTGAGAGAATATTCAGTGTGTTAAGGATTTCCCTCCTCTACTGTTAGCTCTATACAAGAGAGGAAGGGCGATTCTTTTTTAATTTCGGTTTCGCTGACACAGCTTTCGCAGAAATCTCGCTGTAGTCGTTTTCGTCGACAAAAGGAATAACAAAATCGCTCTCCGCGTCTTCCCCCATTTTGTTCTGCGTCATTTCGTGAAGGACGCGTGGCTCTCAGCGTGGGTCATCTACGCGGAACACATTCGCGCTATGTGATTGGCTGTTGTCTAATCCCCCTTGAGATCTGTGGTGTTAAAAATAACTCGAGACGAATTACCTATGGAATAGGGTGTATATGGGGGATGCCCTCTCTGTCCCCTTTATAGTCTCTTGAATATATAGATTTAGTCCTGAGGGCTAACAGCAAAGCTCTGGTTAATATTTATAGTTTAGTCACAGTTAATATAAAATCGGGGCAACGAAAACGGTAAAAAAGTCAGTGAGTCTAATTAGCGAAAAAAATGAAACAACTCTTCATGTGCAGCACAATTTTTTGTACATTTCTTTGCCTTTGTTTTTCACGACTACAACGTGAAACTTCCAGAAACTTCCTAGTTTCGTTTTATGAAGGAAATGTTGTATGTGTACCTGTCACCTGTTCACCTTTTTTTGTCGCTCTTGCTCATTTTCACTTTGGTGGCTGCTAGCATTTCTCACGTTTTCACCGCCGCTATAAATGTTTCATGTTTTTCTTTCCACGAAATTTGTCTCCTTTTTTTATATCTTGCTTTAGCTCTTTCTCTGTTATCCACGTTAAAGACATAAAAACAAAGAATCGGCTTTGTTGTTGTTATTGTTTATCTCTAAAAGTCCTGGTTGCTATGCGATTTACCCACGAAAAGCTCGGGTGCTTGAAATGCAAAATTTTACCCCGGCTTACATAAGTGGGGTGGACGTACGTGCGAACGATTTTCTCAGGACCAAAATTTCTTAGATGCATAAATAACCGAATTTTCTTATCCATGGTGCTCCGCTGCGCGAGAGCTCCGCTTTAACCACCACAGTAAATGACAATGTTCAATAAAATTGGTAATTCTGTCTGAAAAATCAATAGTTTCGGGCCACCGGAGTAACATGCATAAGAGAAAGCCATCTCAAGGGCTTTTCTAGCCCTGGGTGGCAGGTGTAAAAAAGCGGAGGGGAGGGAGAGAAGTATGAAAGGGCCATACCCCTCTCTTTACCCCTTCTTCTCCTACCCTTTTCAAGGGTTGCCACGCATGCTCTGGCCAGGGTTGCTAATCTCCAAAACAGCTTATCGTCAGTAGGAATTAGAATTTACAGGTGGTATTCACCAACGCAATCCCCCGTTTTTTCTTCCTCTTCTACAAAATAATAAATAACAATATTCACCGAAGTGGAGGTGGCTACACATCCACCACTAGCCACCGACACTAATAATAATAATGATAAAAAATAATAATTATATTAATAATAATAATAGTAATTTTCTTAAAATAATGAAAAAAATTTATTGACAACAATGCTGAGTATTAAAATCCTATTTACAATTAATTCGCTTGAAAAAAAGAATAACTATTCATTCAAAACACTATTTCCAATTCCTGTCGATTTAAAAAGCACTTAACTTAGCTTAGAAAGAGTTAATTTAAGTAATAAAAATTTATTCGAACTAAAAACATTTCATTTCAATAAAATAAACTGTCAGCCTCTAAAATTCAAAAGTTTCTTTCAACTGTTACAAAAAAAATAAAATAAAATAAAGACAATTAATAAAGCATTTTGTTGGTTGAGTCTAGGGAAGTCCTGCTTGACCCTTCTCTATTTCTATATCCCTGTCGTTGACATCTAAGTTCCTCCTTCTCGGGCTTCTCGATCCCCTTAGGCATAGGAGCGCGCTCCGCAAAATTGCAAAGGACACTTTCGCCCTGACCCATGAAATTGTTGTGGCGTAGCTCTCTTGCTTTTTTGCAGATAATAGCTCGGCTAATCTTGAGTGGTATCTCAGGCATTAGTCAGCCATCCCTCCCGTCGTTGTAAACACCAGTGGGGTGAATGTGCCCTGCTCTATTTCTAGTAATAATAATAATAATTACAATGATAAGCAAGCGAATATTATTATTATTGTTATATTCGCTTGCTTATGTTTTAAGAAATCGTTTTTGATCAAGAATTACAATGATTTTAATAATAATTTATTCTTTACAGAGTACTGTTGGAAAAACCCGCCGAAGCCAACTGCTGTACGGCAGGCCAACTGCTATTCCAAAAATGATTCTTGCCCACCGGGTCTTAAAGATTGCTCTGATGAATTCGTTTGTCCTTTGTCAACCAACAAATGCTGCTGCTCGTCGTCTGTGCCGCCGTCTGTATCGACCGCCCCGCCGAGTCCTAAGCCAGGTTTGTATCATCTTTGCCAATTCCTTTACTATATAGATTCAGCCAGGGCTAGAAGCAAGGCTCTCGTCAATATACTTATAGTTTACTCAAACAAAAAATGAAATAGTGTAATGTTGAAACGGCAACAACAATGAGAACGGCAAAAAAATGAAAGGTCTAATTAGCAAAAAAACAACTTTGCACTTGCAGCACAATTTTTTGGTACATTTCTTTGCCATTGTTTTGCACGACTACAACCTGAAACTTCCTAGTTTATACACGTTTTATTGAGGAAATATCATATGTATTCCTGTTCGCTTTTTTTGCTCTGTGGGCATGTGAGGCCACACGAACTTCGTACGAAAATATCAGGCCGGCGCTGCGTGTCTTGCAAAACCGATTTTGAGGAAAAAAAACCGACTGTTTTGCAGTCTTAGGAGCTGGGAGAGACGGCTGTCTTCGCAGGCTAAGAAAAGTCTTTCTAAATTAAATGCCGAGACTAGCCTGTGAACAGGCCTTTGGTCGAGCGGGGAACTGGGGGGAGTCCTGACCTACTGATCACGGTCAGTGTTGTGTTGTGGGACTCAATGGGGGAGGCCTTTTTCCACTTCTGTGCAGCCTTCCAAAACCTGCCTCGAATCCAGAGGTCTCTCTCTCGATGAAAATTTTCGCGCCAGGGAAGGCGGGAAGGAGAAAACGTCTCTCTTCTTTCTCCTTCTTATGGTTAGCCTACGTAGCAAACGCTTCTGCTCGAGTTAGTCAGGCGGTGCCAAAGCTGGAACCAGAGGAAAAAAAGGCTTTTGCTCTCTCTCTCTGCACGTTTTCGCGCAATAACTCGAGTGGACACGCTTGGTACGCAGGCTATCCTGATGTCGTGATAACAGGCAAATTGCAATAACAAATTCTACCCGTTTGGGCTTAGATTCCCGTCCGTTTGGTGAGTATTGCTGCGACCTTCAAGGCGTATGTGTTTCCTTGTAGATACCGGCTCTTGTTTGTTCGTGGTCTTTTGTTTTCTCCTCTCACTTGGTAGTCTGGCCAACCGGGTCGAGCTTGGTGAGTGGTTTTCGCTTCTTATCCGTTTTGTCTTCTGAGTGGATACGGGCGCCCGTCACTTTTGGTCTTGCCTTCATCGGGGCTTAACTTTTAGGTAAGTTTTTTTTACCTTTTTCTTGTCTTTTTTCTATTTATTTTTTCTAGTTAGCTAATTGTTTTTCGCTTTGCTGTAACTAGCTTTTGCTTTGTTTTGTGAGTTTTTGTGTCTTTGGGACACCAATTACTTGGTCCTTTTGTAATTAGCGTTTTTACGCTAATTGCATATTTTTTCTTACAACAAGAACGCGCTTACAGCCGCATGCACGTCTCGCCTGCTTGGAGATTAGATCGACAAAATACGGAGGCGATTAATTCTACAAGAAACATGATTTACTCGCTAAAGGTTTTTTACTTCCTACTGTATCGACGTCGGTACTTTTTATTTGTTTCTGAATTGGTTTAGTATGTCTGTTAGCGACAACCAAAAATACCTCTCCGGCAGCAGGCTATACGCGTGTATACAGCGTGTATACACGAAAATTCAAGGGCCTCGATTCCAGAGAAATTACATCATTGCCAGATATCGCAAAAGTGATTTACATGGCACGTCATTTCAATCAACAACGAGCGTTATTTGCATGACCATACAAACACATACAGTATTGCAAAAGCTATGTTTAGGAATCAAAATTACAACACAGAGCACGCAATTACGTTACTTTGATAATAATTTGTCACGAACATCAAAACAAGCTGAAATATATTTTATGAATTGTATATTGATAAAGTATTTAGAAGAGTTCATCAGTTCATTGATCAAACCGTTTATACTTAACTGGGTAATATTTGGAATCAGAGTCTTGACTTTATAGTAAAATTTATTCCTAATCATAGAGTATGTAGGACATTGAAAAAGAAAATGAACTTCGTCTTCTGTTACATTGCGTCCACAAAAAGAGCAATGCCTAAAATATCCTTCGTAGTTTGATTGTATCTGCCTATTTCTATCATTAGTTTGTGATTGCTTATTCGTAGTTTTACTAAAGCCCTTCTCCCAGCTGTTCCTCTTGTTAAGTCTAAGTAACTAGAGGAGGTATGATCGGTTTTAAAAGATCTATAAAATTCAAGTTTTTGAGAATGTTGAAGGGTGTTTTGCCAATATGAGATATATTCCTGTTTCATTGAACTTACATAGCGTTTTACCATGGTTATATCTAATAAATCAGGGTTAAAGTCACGAAACTTAAAGTATTCTGACATATTCATTAAATGAGAGTGGAAGCTATTTTTGCCATTACAGTGTAAGTCGAATGACATTAAAAACGCTTGTTTGACGAGAGATTCATCATCTTTAGACTGTATATACAAAATGTATTTGAGAATTTTTTGATTGATTGTGATATTTAAAGGAAAACGACCAAGCTCTGCTCTACAAGCTATATTAGAAGCTTTGTTGTTTACCTCCAAGTATCGTTTACAAAATTGAAGGTGTGCTTTCTCGAGTTTTGAGCCGAAAATAAATCGCATGCTCATTACAAGACTCATTTGCATACAGTGAAAGCTTACAACACCCGATCATCGCAGTTTTGCTAATTAAGATTCTTCTTTTTTTTTCGACCACTCAATACTGTTCACTTGCACCAAAGTAATCAACGCTTTCAAGCGATAGAATTCGTGGAACGACACATTTCGGAAAAACTCTAAATTTAATCTTTCCTAGGCTTTCTTCTCAAAACATGCGTGGCTTCGATCACGCAACGATTCTTAGTCCCAGTTTCCACGGTCTTCGCAAGAAACGCCTGGCACAATGACCTGCCTTTTGTGTCCTAAATTACGAAAAGAAAATTCCCGGGGGGGGCGTTCCAGAAAAATTGGGAGGGGGTGTGCGGCACGCTTCCTGAAACCCTTACCCTATTTCAGAACAGAAATCTGTGATTTTCCCTACACTATTTCAGACCTGGTCAAAAATTTGATACCTTGTTTCAGACCTGAAGCCCTGGAGCCCAGCGCGTGACCGGAGCGCGTGACAAGCTGTTACGGCACGTACACGGTGGTTGGTGTAAACATTTTAAAGGGGAATGGTCTTATCGCCAAATGATGAAGAAGTAGCTAATTCTTCTAAAAAACATACCCAATTCAAGACTAGAGTGCACAAACCATACCCTATTTCAGACCAAACAAGAATCGCCGAAAGGCGATATTTAACTTGGCTACCAAGGGGCTATTTTTTTCTGAGGGGAGGGGGCGGCTATACACACTCAGGCTACTATAAAACCTTGCTGCCGACCATTGTGTGAGACAGAATCTCATGTGAGACTGAAACATAAACTCATTCAGAACATTGTACCTTTTTGAAAGACTTTCGTCACAAAAAAAACAAGTACCATTTTAAAGTGGGGGCTGTATAATAACTAAACAAGTTAGTCATTAATTCTAAGCAGGAAACGATTTGCATTATTTTCACGCACCCCTCCCCGAATCCCTCTGTCTCCCAAAATATAGCGTGAGAGTATAACGTGACTAATTTGACGTAACCGGAAATTCCAAAAATAATTGTCGTTCTACGAGTATAAAATGCGACAGGGTCAGCTACTCGCCACTGGGCTAATTTACACTAGACAGAAATATTGTGTTGGATGAAACCCAGACGTTTACTAAAACAGACAGCCAACTGGCCATTGATCCCGATCCAGGGGCCTCACTGACTGCACTGAGACTTTGCTATAGACGATCCTAATTTGCGGTCTACAGTCTACATGAAAACGCACTATTTTTTTCCACAAGATAAAAAATATTCAGTTTTAAGATTTTCCTCTTGGTATTTTTCTCTAACTTAAAGGAATAACCTTCTTTTGAATTTTGTGACCTAAAAAAGTTTAAAGATTTCTCGCTCGCATGTTGCTTTCATCAGCATGCACTTTAAACAATGTAAATAGATGAAAAGATCGATAACATATTTTTTTTTACCTGATACCGATATGAGTTAAAAATTCGCTCGAGTTCGCTATTTGTCTCACGACACCCATGACTAACTTTTCTTCATGGCAGATAACTATGCCGCTTTATAACTCCTCCGAAGTTTTTGTGCCAGCTAAACAATATGGAAACACTATTCACAGTCCTTGGATATTAAAAAGACTGAAGGTAACGCACAATGTGCCCTTGTTTACCTGTGATCACATCTCCAAGCGAACTCTCTCTTTTCAAGCGATTCATTTCAATGCACAATAATTGACCCTTATATTAATTAAGCCCTATGGTTCATTCATAATAAAACTGTTTTTGCCCCTCACATTTACTGTGTTGGTTCGTATTCAAAACACCTTTAGAAAAATAAAGGTCGTGTAAGTCATGTGTATTATGTTTCGAGATAAATGGATTATACTCTTTTTTAAGTTCCCATTTTGCGGTGACTTCAGTTTACATCTCCATAAAATGGTACAAGAAACATCAAGAAACATCACGCAAGCTGAAAATTTGCAAAGGCATATCTTTTGAAACTCGCTTATGCTGACATCAATACATCTGATATATCGAGCTTGCTGAACGGGCGAAACACAGAATTGTGATATGTACAAATTTAATGATAAAAGCTTAGCAAGATACAGATACAAACAAAAGCAAACCCCCTGAAACCTCGACCTGGGCTACACTTGTATGCTCTACTCAGTCACCAAACCTTGTCAGTAATAGCTCCTATTTCCTCAAGTCGGTCTTTGTGAAGCTCCCGGATGGGATGTCCCGATGAAGCTTTGAACTTGTGTGCGAAATTCTCAGAGTTCCTATTTTTGTCCGTGTCTTCTTTATCGTTAGTATCCGAAATTTAGACCTCCAAAGTGGCGTGTGTTGCATTAAAAAGAAGGAAATATTTAAAGGAAAAGCCAGTCTTCTAACATGGCAAAATTGTCACGTCCCTCGCTCATGGACGTGCGTAACATCAGGATTCATCTCACATTCATCGGCAACTGAGTTGTTCGCTTCACTGAGTACGACAGCTTACAATCAAGTCTTCAGCCATAGTGTCGTCAACTGGTGAAATACTTTGCTCATAAACTGTGCTTATTAATTGCTCGATCGATAATTCTCTCTTTAAGTTCACGTAGCCTGTGAACGGCAGGTTTCTCCTCGCTCATCGCCGCTGAGAGACGTTTCGCGAGAAGGAACGACGTTCATCCTCGCGAACCGTCCTTCAGCGCCGATGAGCGAGGAGAAACGTCTGCCGTTCGCAGGCTAGAGTTCACGAAGCGGCCCCGGCGTTCCAAACCTGACGGCTCACAGTCATCTTTTAGTGTGAACCTACCGTGAATGGCGTGTGGGTTTGTATGCAACGTGAGCATTTCTCTGAGTTTCCCAGCGCCAACATCATCAACTGACTTAAACTCGAACAATAAAGAAAATTATAGAATGACTCCTATGATCGAATCGCTTCGAACAACGCAAATAGCCTTCTTCAGGTTCGCAACGTCTTCTGGGTTTCTTGCGGGGGGGGGGGCGGAGACGAGGTACAAAAGTATTCGTGTTCGTGCAAGGGTCCGTGCAAGGGAAAATCCTATGAAACCATTTGTGAGAACATCGTTTCTCGGTACCAGACCCTCGTGTCTTCCCTCCCCTGGGAGGCCGTTTTTCTGCACAGAAGACCAAAAACCGAATTTATGACTGGGTCGCACGGGTAGCCCAGTAAATGGTCGAAATTGATACCCTATTTCAGACCAAAACGGCTAAAAAAACCATATCTTTGGCGCGGCACATACCTATATAGCCTATATAAGGGACTACCCCCCCCCGCCGCGCTGCAGACACTAATTAGTCTCGCTTGCGTGAGCAGCGAGACTAATTAATGTCTTCCTGCCACTAATTGGTTATTTTTGGCAAGTTAGTGTCCTTTGGACTCTAATTTACATTTTTGTGTTTTTTTGTGCATTCAGTTGGTGTTTTCTACAAGAATTGTCTATTTTCTTACAATCGGTGTCTCTCTCCCACCGATTGTTTTTGTTCACTTTCGCTGTGTGGATTAACACCGAAAAAGCGAAGAACAAAAAGCGAAATTGGCAAAAACAAAAAGCGTATGAGAATTAGTAAAATGATCACCTAAAGGGAAATTGCATTGATATTTTATCAAATTCTCTCAACTTATGCTTTCGGGAAATGTATAGAGACCTGTTTGGAGAATTTGTATGTGGATATTAGGGCTTAAAGGGTTAACAGTGATCACCCTGGACGCATGATGGATCTGGAGAGGTCCATGATATTGAATGTAGAACCTAAGTAGTCCCGAAAAAATTCCGAGACTTCAAAACTTAAAACTCGACTAAAATTTTGCTCGGATCTCATTTTATGAAAAACCATTCACCACCCCAATCGTTTCAAGAGAAAATGATGCGGGGAAACCTAAGCTTTATGGGCATGGTCTTACAAGTGTAAAATTAATTAAATTAATTAATGGAAATATTATTGGTCTCCGTTAGTTGTTCACTTATTTGCCACACAGCTCTAGAAAGTTGCGCCGGCGTGATAAAATACAATGGTAATTCAGTCTGTGATTGGCACTTTTTTCGAGACTACTGTTATTCAGGCCCCATCCAAACGTATCCGGATATTTTTTAATTCGCAAATTTTTCTTCGCGGATTCAAAAATTTCCACGTCCACATGTATCCGGATCCACTCTCAGTTCGTCAGCTAATTTGAAAAAGCGATCTTTGGCTCGTTTTATCGCCAATCGTCTTCAGTAACTGTTTCACTGTTATTAAAACTGTCAAGCAAGCACTATTTCGCGTTTATCTTGTTTATGGCGTCCAGTTCGTCCGTCCACTTTAAAATGTCGAGCCGCCGTTTGGCATAATTGAAGTGTACGGTAATCATAGCTAGGTTTAACTGCAGAGACGTTATAAGACTTGAAACTGAAGTCCAAGAAGTAAAGAAGCGATAACATTGCGCTCGGCGCCGTCTTGAAAATATACGGTAAAGAACTGGGCTCAATCTTGTGACCCCCCTCCCCACCCGCCCCTGGATAAAAAATATCCACACGATTCCGGATTCATACAGCGTATTCAAAAATTTCCACTCTGGAGAGCGGATTCAAAATTTGCGGATTCGTATGTAGCATTCACCGGATACGGCGGACGGAAGCCGTATCCGGAAAGAAAATGTTGCGGATTCAAAAATATCCTGATACGTGTGGACAGGGAATCAGTCTGCTAATATTCAAAACCAAATTTGATGGAAATTGTTTTGAACATTGGACGTGTCGGAATTCACGCGGATCTATTCTTGTCTTGCTGAAGATAAAATTTTGCAAAGTATCGCATTTTGTGTCAAAACAAATTTGTTTCATGAAATTTCGCGAAGACATCTGAAAATCGCGAACATTTTTACTCGCCAAAGAAGTATAAGAAAATAAAGTATAGTTAGGGCCCAGGCTTCAGGTATATAAACGGTAGAGAATTCGTAGCTGAAGTAAAGTGGAACTCCTATTCAGGGGACACCCTCGAGACCCAAGCAGGTGTCCCTGGAATAGAGGTGTCCCTTGAATGGAGGTTGGGTTAGGGTTTGTTCTACCTCGGAATCTGCTGCAGTTATAATTTCAAGCAGCTAGATAATGTATAAAAACAAGAGAGAATAATCTCTCTTGAAGAAAAAGTCACGATTAACTTATATATCTCTGCGATGTTGTGTGTTGAATTCGCACAAGTACTTTTACATCAATTTAAGTGAGATTGTTCATGTTTTGAACTTGTCGCCAATGTGACTAGTGTACACTTAAACTTATCAACAAGTGGTCAGTCACTTTGTGAGTGCTAAAGTGTTCCCTGAATGGAGGTTATATCCGGGTTTCGGGACCCAGAAAAAGTGTCTTGTCCCTTCAATGGAGGTAACAAATATAAATATGACTACTACCTTCTAAAATTCCTCTGTTTTTCCCTAGAGGTCAATTTGTAGCAAGTCTTAAAGATTACGTGAACAATTCTCCGGGACCAAATTTGGTGTCCCCTGAATGGAGGTGTCTCAAAGTCTAGGTTCTACTGTACCGAGTGGCACGAAATTTTTGCGGGAGTTAATTTTTGGGATTGACGATTTTTTGTGTTTTGCGGGAACTAATTTTTGCTATTAGGACAGATTAGTTTTTACTGCTGAGAATTAATTCTTGCGATTTTCAGAAAGTACCCAGTACCCAGCACTGATAAGATATTCGTTTTTTTGAGTACGTGCAAATTATAGAAATACATATTTTCAAACAATACGACGGTGTGCGTACCCTGTGTAAAACCAGTAAGTTCATTGTATACCGTTTTGTTTCTGAAAGGAAGAGAAAAGTTGTAATTGAACAGACGCGATTTCTTAGTACTGTATTTTTGTCTAGCGAATTCAAGTTAGAGAATGTTTACTCTGGAGTAAATTTTTGCGGGAAAAATGGTTATTTCCGGGAACTTATTTTTGCGGGTCGCTGGAAAAATCGCAAAAATTAGAACCCGCAAAAAGTTCGTGCCACACATGTATCCGTAAAAGGCAAGCGAATCTGTCATTTCGTTTCTGAGTGCCCACTGCGCCCCACCCCACCTCCCCACCGTCACCAACTGGGGCCAAGAATACAAGGCCCAAGCCAAACTCACGTTACAAGGGTGTAAAGTGATCACGCGTTACCTATGGTATGTAAATTACTTGTGGACTGACGAAGCTATTTGGGCAATACAACATGATCGCCAATATTATACAGGACATTTTTAAGTCGATATTGGAGCATATTTAATAGAGTTTTATTTAATAAAGACCAATAAAAGGTAACGTTTGCACATATGAAGAAAAAAGGTCATGTTGCGAGAAAGAAGAAACACTTTTAAAGAGTAGGGGCAATGAGTTTTGGCCTCAGTGTTACGCTGAAATGCAAACTAAAAAAAACACAGACCGAGTCCGGTACAATAAGGAGCTCTTGAAAGCTATGCTAATCATGATGATAGATTTGTATCTTTTTGCCATCTTTAGGCAGAATGCTATCTCTTACAAATGCACTTTCAAAGAAAGTATTTAATAGGCAATATTATTTCTACTGTTTTAAGGAGTCTGAGTTAAACATGTTTCCACCTCACCAACGTTTGCTCGTTATTAGTGCCCGGCCTAACCCTATTGAACCCTACACAGATCCGAAAACTGTCGGTTAATGTCACTTTAAATGCTTAGCTTTGCATCGATTTCGGAATTGTTGCTGTAAACTTTTTCAAATCACTTTTTTTCAAAGCACTTGATGACCGCTTACAAAAAAATTTCATCAAGCGGGCAATCTCACAGTAGTAATTGAGACTACCAGCTTTGAATGATAACTTGGAAAATTAGACGCTTTTACGAGTTACGTTCACCGATTTTATGTTCTGTGTTCAGCCATTTGTTGTGCCTGTACGTAGTCCACAGTTCAAAAGAGTGTTTGATGTAACAGATGCGAAAATTTATGCGCGTCCTTTAAGTGTTTACTATAATTATGGACGTGATACGGAAATATTGCAGATATTGTTCAAATTGACCCGCTTAGATGACTGAAACGTGCTGCATGATCCGTTCTTTAACCACGCCTTGCTAACCAGGATAAAAAAGGCTTCGTAAACATTACTAATCAGTGATCCACCTCGACACCACCAGGGAAGGTTGCCGTGTAGCTCCGTGTAGCCCTTTGAGGTAAAGTATTCCTATTCAGTCTTCTCAATTTAGTTTAACTTTGATATTCAGAAAAAAATTCTGTTTTATTGAAAAGAAAGAAATATCAAAGCGTTATTCATGCAATTTACATTTATTAGTCACCATTCAGTCCTTTTCCCACGCTAGAACAAGTTTAAATTCAACAATATGATTTAGGAAAGGAGAAACAATCAGAAAACATGAAAACAATGAAACCATCCCCTGCTCAGTTAAGCCAGTCGTGGGGACTCCTACTTTTTCTCTCTTGTCTCCTTCTTCTATCTTTTGTTTCATTGTCTTATTTGATTTTGAAATGTGTATTTAAAAGCATACAATAGAACCCCGCAACTACATGAACATCATAATTCAAAGTTACAGATTTCTGGGAAAAGCAAGGTTTGGACGGTTAAAAGCCGAAATGAAATGCACTTCCCACAAACAGACAAATCTAAGCGACCTAAGTAGTGAACTCGTTTGCGAAGTGAGATGCACTGACAAATGCTCTTTTATCTTCATTTTCACTTTTATTTTGAAGCTATTGGAACAAATTTCTTCACCCGGTTATGCAGGCCGCTTGATCCACGCGCAATCCGCGTGCTGCACTTGCGACAAAAATTAATTATAAACCTTCGCTATACACGAGAAGTAAATAAAGTCACATGGTACTTAGGCCTCCTCCACACGTATCCGGATATTTTTTTAATCCCCTAATTTTTCTTTGCGGATACGGCTTCCGTCCACACGGCGTAGCGTAGCCGGTGAATCCGGGCATACGAATAGGCGTTCTGCGTTCGGCGTTCCACATTCAAATTACTTTGACTAGATTTGTGGATCAGCTGTTTGGATGAGTATTGTCAAGAACCATAACTCTTGGTATTGTATATCATTTCTCTCAGATATTCGTATCACACCTTCTTCAAATACTCTTAGTCTGAGACTACAATTATTCACAGTTTAACGAACACAAATTTTTAAAGCGAAAAATGAAAACAACTTACCTACTCAAAAGAAAAAAAAACAAAAAAAACAACAAAAAAAAAACACTCGCACAACTCTTTCCAACCCTTGTACTTATCGTCAATCGTGCACGAAATATCGCCTCCTGATTGGCTAAAAATGGTGACGCCATATTGGCTCTAGTCGGTTCACAAGTGATAGTTCCGGCCTTGTGATTGGCCCAAACCAAAGTCTCTAGGGAGTCTACATCTTACATTACACTTTTACACTTTTGCAGTACGAACGAGAATTTTTCTACCTACAGCAATACCTCGCGCAGTTCTATAATGCTGCCACCTCGCACGCCTCGTTTGCTCGATCGTTGGCAATAATGTTGCATACTTTGTTTTCTTTCAGTTTTGTTGAAAATCATTTTGTCGTCAAAATAGACAGGAAGATGACTCCTTTATTTCTTGTTCTTCTTAGTCTTTTGGCTATTGGCCATGCAACAAGTAAGTTCAACAGATGCAATGTTTAATTAACGAGTTGAAGTGTTTTATGACGTGCAAAGTACGAGATGCGGGCGAATATTTTTTTAAGCCTGATAAAACACAAACTCCAAGCAGGAACCGCTCCAAGACATTCTCCTTCCCAGCGTTCTCTCTGAAAACTTCCAGTCTAAATGATTGTAAAACATTTACATTATAATGATGATGATGATGACGATGATGATGATGATGATAATAATAATAACAATAGTAAAGTTGTAGGATGTGACCTTTACCGGGAACTGGCTACCAGTTGAAAAGTGAGAGTATATACATCATAATAATAGTATTAATCTATTTTTTACAGAGTCCTGTTTTGAATTGTCGGGTGCCAACTGCTATTATAAACCTGAACCCTGCCCAGCACATCTTGAAGATTGCTCTAAGAAATTTACTTGTTCGTTGTCAACCAACAAATGCTGTTGCCCGAAGTCTGGCCCGCCGTCTGTGCCACCATCTGGGCCGACCCGACCTAAACTAAGTTTGTATTATGTTCGCCAATTTCTTTAATATATAGATTTAGCCAGAAGACGCATTGAACTGCATAAACTTTTCTTCACAAATAGATTTTTTAGAGAAACATCCACTCGATAAATGCGTTGCTCAAGGCTCAGCATCATGCACTATCCAAGCTTTTCACGGGATCATTTTTGGTTGAAATTCAGGGGCGGATCCAGAAAATTCCGGAAAGGGGTGGCTGGGACACTTGCCCACTTGTCATCTGAAGAGATACTTTTTTTTTTCTGAAAATTCTATAACAATAATACAAAATTTCAAAGAAAAAGGGGTGGCCGCGGCCTACTCGGCTCCTCGGCCCCTCGGCCCACTCCTAAATCCGCCCTTGAAATTAGGGATCATTTGCGGTACTGTTTCCGGCTTTTTCGCAAGCAAAACGTAACACGTTACTAACTTATAACCACCACGAGAAGTGATAATGTTAAAAAACAATTAGCACTTTTGTCCCGTATTTTGGACCACCGTAGTAACGTGCCCGTAAGAAAGCCATCTCAAGCGCTTTTCTGGCCCCGCGTGGCGAGTGCAAAAAGGGGAGGGAAGAAGGGTGGTGGGGAAGCGTGAGAGGGTGATAACCCCTCCCTTTCCCCCTTCGTCTCCCACCCCTTCAGCGAGGCCTGCCACGCATGCTCAGGCTAGGGCTCTTAAGAGTCTCTTAATCTCCAAAATAACTTATAATTATATCGTCAGTGGGAATAAAAATTTATTTAAATAATAATAATAAAGTTTTAGGATGTGACCTTTACCGGGAACTGGCTACCAGTTGAGAGTATATACATCATAATAATAGTATTAATCTATTTTTTACAGGGTCCTGTTTTGATTCTTCGGGTGCCAACTGCTATTACAAACCTGAACCCTGCCCAGCACATCTTGAAGATTGCTCTAAGAAATTTACTTGTTCGTTGTCAACCAACAAATGCTGTTGCCCGAAGTCTGGGCCGCCGTCTGTGCCACCATCTGGGCCGACCCCCCCGCCGACACCTAAGCCAAGTTTGTATTATGTTCGCCAATTCCTTCAATATATAGATTTAGCCAGAAGAAGTACTGAACTGCATAAATTTTGCTTCACAAATAGATTTTTTAGAGAAACATCCACTCGATAAATGCGTTGCTCAAGTACTCAGCATCATTCACTATCCAAGCTTTTCACGGGATCATTTTTGGTTGAAATTCAGGGGCGGATCCAGAAAATTCAGAAAGGGGTGGCTGGGACACTTGCCCACTTGTCATCTGAAGAGATACTTTTTATTTTTCTGACAATTCTATAACAATAATACAAAATTTCAAAGAAAAAGGGGTGACCGCGGCCTCCTCGGCCCCTCGGTCTCTCGGCCCACCCCTAAATCCTCCTTTGAAATTAGGGATCATTTGCGGTACTGTTCCCGACTTTTTCGCAAGCAAAACGTAACAAGTTACTAACATATAACCACCACGAGAAGTGAGAATGTTAGAAAAAATTAGCACTTTATTGTCTCGTATTTTGGACCACCGTAGTAACGTGCCCGTGAACGCTTTTCTGGCCCGGCGTGGCCGGTGCAAAAAAGGGGAGGGAAGGAGAGGGGCGGGGGAGCGTGAAAGGGCAATAACCCCTCCCTTTCCCCCTTCGTCTCCCACCCCTTTAGCGAGGCCTGCCACGCATGCTCAGGACTCTTAAGAGTCTCTTAATCTCCAAAATAGCTTATCGTCAGTGGGAATAAAAATTTACGGGTGGTATCCATCGACACAACCCCCCGTTTTTCCTTCCTCTTCTACCTTGCAAGCAGAGGCTTAAATTCTTCTTCTTGATGGAGGGCTCTGTCCCAATCGCGTCAAACCTTTGAAGCCGCTGCAGTAGCTTGAACTTCTAGACTAGTCATTCTTGTTTTCTCTGGTTAAAACGCTTGCAACGTAGGACTTAGCTGAGCCCGCTGTACCTAGCGTAAGGCTTTTAAGCCTAATTTCGAAACTGTATCTTAACGACGTGCAGGGCATTCTTAAAGAAGATCTCAACCGATTAATGCAGAGGCTTTCTCGAGTACGCGTGTGTTTTTCGTTCGTGGTTCGTAATTAAAGTAAGAGGTCTAGCGCTCAGGAGGCCGGATTTCAAGTGACGGTGATGATCGAAGGATTTGTTGGGGTTTGAAACTTTCAATTCAGGGATCTTTTTTGGGTAGGAAAATTTGGCGAGTATATTTTTGGGCAGTTTGATTCAAGTACGGCTTTTTAAGGGGTATTTGAAATAACTGAAGATTCGTGTTAGTGCCCGCGTATCTCGGCCGCGTAGTTCTGCGAAAAAAGTACATTCAAACTGGTCAAGGCTCGGAAATTCCGCATTAGATATTTTAGGGCTTTTTGGTCCAGGGACTTTTTTGGGTTTCAATTTTTGCCCCCATTCGATCATCCCCGTCACTTGAAACCCGAACTAGAAAACTATGGGGGTGGGGCGAGAGAAAGAGGCCAGGGAGAACTAGCTGCTTTTTTCCTCTTGCCCCCGCCCTCCTCCCCACCCTTTTCTTGTTGGACATCTGTTTATCTTTCGCACGGCTCTGGCTCTTACTTTACAGGCGCGGATTTAGGATAAATACTGACCGATTTCCTAAACGAGCGCCAAAGGCGCAAGTTTCTAGCGGGGTCCGGGAGGAGGCTCCCCCAGGAAAAAAAAATTGGATTTTTACTCCTTAAAGTCCCCTTTCCTGGGTTTCCTAGTCATTCAGACAGAATGTTGGCCAGATGGTAACTTGGAAAGTGTTTTTATTATTAAAAATATATTAATTATGAAAAATATGACCCGATTTCCGTAAAACGGTGGAAACCGTTGTGGATCCGCGCCTGCTTTTCGAACCACAAAAAAAAAACAGACCAAAAATTGCGTGATACGCAGGCTAGCGAAAGGCTAGGATATTCCACTTTTTACGCCCGGAGGATAATAAGTAATGGTAACGGGACTGAGTAGAGTCCAATTCGGTCTGTAATCATTCGAGTGATTACGAAAATCGCGGGAGTCCGATTTGCTTAATCCCGAGTATCATTACAGACCGAATTGGACGACACGAAGTTCTGTTACCAACTAATCATAACTTTAACAAAATTTGTGATATATAAGGCTCTTTTTAAAAATCAAAACACAAGAAATTCCAAGATTTTTTTTTGCTACCAGTGTAAAAAAGCCATTTAATTAAGCGGCTCGTGATGGCGCGTACTGTCCTATTATTAGGCTGAAATTAGGGCAGTTGATAGCCAATCAGATTTGAAAATTTTGTTACAGTTATGAATATAATAATAATAATAATAATAAAATAATGAACCAATCTTTATTTAAGTATCAGAACAATAAGTAATATTTACAATTTTAAACTATATCGTATTGTTTACAAATTAAAAGCTAAATATATGTCCATGATAGAGAACTATTTACAATTGTGAATAATTCAAAAGTGAGAAAAGAAAAATCAAGCATTACTAAGAAAAAAACTATCAAAAATCTGTGCCTAAAATTATGAGTGCAGATGTAGACCAGCTACAGCGAAAGTGAATTCTTCTGAGACCTCACGTGATTTGAATAGATATCTAGAACCTCTGACGCATCTGTGTAATAATAATAATAATAATAGTAATAATAATAATAATTTATTCTTTACAGAGTACTGTTGGGAACATCCGTCGAACAAGGCCAATTGCCACTGGAAATTTACGCCATGCCCATGGGGTCTTAGAGATTGCTCTAAGAACTACTTTTGTCCGGTGTCAACCAACAAATGCTGCTGCCCATAGCTAAGTGTGTAACACCCGTTGGTATTCCACCACGTGGTAGATTGTTTGCCAGAAGCAAATGAAACCTTGTGTTGGACTCGCATGTAGAATTGTATGAATGCCGAGTCAGCTGAACAATAGAAAATAAAAGGTGTTAAAAAATAATGTGCAGTAGAAATTCTGTTGTTTGTTACTTTGACAAATATCTTGATCAGCGTCTTGAGGTTTATAGTAGAGATTTTGGAGGCTTTTTTAAAAACAAGGCTTTTGACCAGAACTCCCTAGCTTGAGAAAACAGCAGTGTCTCTTCTTTCCTCGCCGTTAGGGACGTTTCGCCAGGAGGGACATCTGCGCGTCAGCGACAAAAAATTCCATTCTGATGACCTAAATCAATGTTAGTATGTTAACATAATATATCCGGTAGTCATGTGGTCCCCAACGAAAATTTGTTCGATTTTTGGATTCTCCTGGTCGATTATGGTAAAGTTTTGTGTTCTTAGAACGAGTTCCAGCAATTCTTCTTCTACATTCCACGAATATTGACTTTTTTTCCCTAGTACAGTCGAACCTCCATGTGCGACCACCAATCCAAAACACCAAAACTTTCCCAGTCAAAGCCTTACAATTGGAACTTCTAGTAAGCGACCATCTCCTGTACGCGACCGCGACCACTTTTTGGGCCTGACGGTTAATGACTTTCCATGGTTTTTAACCTCTTGTAAGCGACCACTGGATACATTCTCTGATCTCTATTTTCGCTGAGTGCACTATGTTACTTAGAATATACTAAAAACTTTAGTGGCAGCATAGAACTACACATATCCTAATTTAGACATTGCATGCAACAAATTATCTTCCACTAAGCAGATGTGCCTGGACATCTCGGAAGAGACCCACTCCATCTTAGCATTTTGGGTGGTCGCTTACGGAAGGTTTGACTATACATTGATTGCACTCACATTTGACCTTTCTCTTTTGTCTGTCGTTCGTTAACAATATAGGTAAAACAATTTTTAAACAACCACGTCGACCAATCAGACTTCCTGACCAGATTCTGGGCAGATTTTAGATCATCAGTATGGAAAAGTTGCTTTTCTGGTTTAATTCGATGCTCTATGGCGATTACTTAATCGCAGCGATTTATAGATCGAGGCGGTGCATTGTCAAATATCATTTGCTTAAACTTCGTGAAAGATAGACAAATTCTTCTTGTCCTTTTCAACCTTGTTTTTAGATTTTTTGTGAACATGTAAAAGTATATCCCAGCAAAACTTACTACTGAAGGCATTGTTTTGGAACACCTTGTTCATTCTTGTACCTTTGATTTTGCATCCAAAAGGGGAAACACAGATGAAATTGAGTTTTAATAATCATGCTCTGTTTGACTCAGATTCATTTTACAAGAACCCTCCCGATTTGGAAGATGATTTAAATCTGATAATTTGTCGATGCTGATTTGTTTCTATACGCAAAATTGGCACAATAAACAATTTTAATCTTATGCTTTAAATCATTATACATAATTTCTTGAAACGTAACTGTAAGCGCCTTCCGCCCGGCGCTTACGAGTTTCTCATCTCTTCTGTTCATGTTCCTTTAAATACTGTTTTTAACCGAACAAGATAAAATATTGTCGTAGGATGGGTTAACGTTTGCTCAAAAAGAAAAAGATCGAGGATCGAATGAAACACTAAGCAAGATTGAAACAGATTTCTGGATGTATCTGACGGGTACGTTTGATTTCGGGTTGAGGTTAGCCTCCCCGTAGACGTCCTTTGGGGTTTGCTTGTCACGCATTCATTTCTCCCCCACGGAGGGAGAAGTGAATGCGTGACAAACGAACCCTAGACGCTTGCAGGTAGGCTAGGTTGAAGTAAACGCTTTTCAAACTGGCAAAAGTAGTGTACAGGTTAGCGCGGTCCCAAAAGTATACAGATGACTCAAGCCTTGTCGCACCAGTATGGAAAGGAGGCAGGAGGCAGTGATACGTCAAGTGGTTTAGTGGAGAGGTTTTTGACCTGGGCGAACTGTAATTCCATGAGCTGTGACCGTAACAAGTGTAAAGAACTAGTCATAAAGAAGAAAGGGAACTCCACATTCTATCCTGTTGTACGTAACACACCACAACACGCCACTCTTGATTTATTAGGTTTGACCTTTCAGAATGACTGTAAATTTTTTGCATTCGTAAAAGCTAAACTGTGCAAGGCCAACAAATGTCTACACGTGCTGAGAGTATGTAGAAAAGAGCGCTACAGCCAGACAGAAATTGATTATCTCCTCTATAGTGTTGTTCTTCCTAACCTACGGACTACCTGTTTTTGGTGCCTCCATAAACAATTTTTAGATAGACGCTGTAAGTTGCGCTTTATATCTACACCGTTGAATATTAGATCATTACTGCAAAAACAAGATAAAGTGATTTTTGAAAAAGTTAAACAGCGTGATAACCACCCTCTGAAGGTTTTCTTACCTCAAGAAAAGAACAATTTCACCTACAACCTCAGACGTAAAAGCTGCCAAAAGCCCAAGATAAACACCGAACGTCATAACAACACATTTGTAAATAGATTAATTCTTAAATACAATCTTTTATGATATTTTGTGTCAGATGTGAAGTTAGGTTTTTAGGGTGTTCTTCGTCTTTAACTCTCACAAAATGCGCGGCGTTGCGCTGGGTAAATAGAAGGATAATCGACGGGGCGATTCGAAATAACTGAAGGACTGAATGGGACTAAAGCTCGGTAGAACACTTCGCTGGGCTGCGTGGCCAACGCAGGGGCACCCAACGAGAATATAGTTCAAAACCACTTAAACATAGCATTGTTAAACGTATTTTAGTATTTAAACGGTAAATATAGGCATATTTTTATCCCCTAAAAATTTTTCATCTGTTCGGATTTCCTAGCTGAAAGTCTAGTGATCCGAAAATTATAGGGATCAAAACTTACCTTTTCGAAAATTTCAGGCAGAAAAAAGGTTCCCGAAAATTTTAGCTGACCTTTTTAGGGTAAAAATCCGTTAAAATGGGCAATTATACCATCTTTTAGATGTTCGAAAATCCTAGGAGAGGCAGGCAAGCAAGAAATTTTACAAAAAATGTTTCGAAAATTCTAGATCTTAAATCGTCTTCCGAACAGCTATTTTCCAAAAATTGACGTTGGGTGCCCCTGCCAACGTCACAAACAATGCCAGAGGTACAGGGTCGTTAGTACAGTGTTAGTAACTTGTCCGTAGAGCAAAGCAGAAATGACTTCAACAGGATTCGAACTCTGCAAGTATGTTTAATCTTCTCACGTAGTTAACTCGTTGACGACTCATTGCAAGTAATTCAACATTGCTCTGTGTCTTAAAGAGAGGTAATTGAGCGAGGTAACTTGAAGAGGTAATTCGTAGAGGTAATTCGCAGAAGTAATTCAACGCTCTTGACGAGAGGTAATTCAAATTGTACACTGTACAAGCTCGCTTATATGTGGTCTGGCTGTGCTTATACTGTTCAAATATTATGTTCGGCAAGTCTTTCATCTAA